CCAGCTCAGTTTTTTAAATTGACATTTGTCAAGCTATGTGGTGCTGGCAGGGCCTGAAAGTTGAGGTAGCCTAACTTGGAAGTCTTTGAAGCCGCTGGAATAATATGACAGCCAGGCAGTTAGCATTTTTAGAAAAAGGCAGCAATGGTAGCCAACCTATTTCTGACAGCCCACGTTTCCTTGAATATGTTTATAACTATATATAAGTGTCATGTTTAATTTCCAAACACTGTATTCCTTTTGATGTGTCTACTGTTAGTTACAGTACACAGTTGTATCTGCCCCTCTGCTCATTAGCCATGTCACAAGCTATGGGGAAATGAGCCCAAAGGGTTTGAGGACTTGCTGATCACCTGTCTGCCATGATGGGACATCTGCCTGTCTGTGGCTAGCCCTAGGTGACTACAGCTTACACGTTCTTGTAATGTATAGTGCCTTAATAATAAGCCTGACTCTGCATAATGGACTTGAGGGGCTGATCAGTAGTTTATAACAAATATGCAGTATGGACACTTCACAGGACATAACTCTGAAATGTAGTTTTCTATGATAAGTTCCTGCGATCCTGTTGATTCATGGTTTGCTCTGATAATCAAAGCGATTTGTATTTTGTTTAGTTGATATAGCCACAGCAGTGTTTACTTTTTTTATGAATAGGCAGTCTTGTCAGCCTAGTGGAACCTTCTGTCTTGCTCTTTATCTGATCTTGTGCAATGACACCTCAGCTTAATCTGTTGGCATCCATGGCAAGCCTTTTTCCTGGCTGTGCTTACCTTTCTGTTTCCTCCTCTTTGCTAATTGATGGTCTAAAAAGGGTGGTCATTAATACTGCAGTACATTAATTATCTTGTGGCACGTGTTGTTTTTAGCACCATTTGAGATGGTAATCCTGCCCGGTTTTGGCAAGAATTTTGTGTGATGAATGAGTTAATTTATGGCCGTTTTTTATAGCATGTCGCAGTGCAGGGCTGGCTGAGATATGTTTGCAATTGTCACAGTTCACACCTAGCATTGCTGATTCATACTCCCGGTAAGAGTTTATTTTCTAGGCTGCTGTCAAGTGCAGAAACCTGTAGCTACCACCAAGGTTTGAGTTAACTTTGGTCAGGTCAGTAAAGGGTTAATTGTTAGCTGTGGATTTCAAACCTTTTCACAATGGTCTTTTCCTTATTAAAAGGAAGGTTCTACTGCAGACTACTTCTTCTGGGGCATTTCTCTTGCTGTTGCATCTTTTGCATTACAGTGAACACTGCATTAACAGTGAGAGTCCTGCTGCAGCAACATGAGTGAGTCTCTCGAGAGACTGCAACAAATACTAAAGCGAATGGTTGATTCCTCCTTCAGTATTTATTGGTTTTGGGTCAAACCCACCATAACTGGTGTGGTTTTTTTTTTTTTTTTTTTAATTTTGTGCGCACTGACCCTTTAACATTAATTTATGACCAGAGATCATTGAAACCTTGCTGGCTAAACCAAAATTAGCAGTGTCGACATGCAGCAGGTAGCTTGACAATGATAACTGTAGAACTAATTTGCTTTCCTGAATGGTTATGCTATTATTTTTTAAGAGGAACGTCACTCACAATAACCCCCCCCCCCTTTTTTTTTTTTTTTTTTTTTTTTTTTTTTTTTTTTTTTTTTTTTTCCTCTTCACTCTTCACATGATCCGCCACACCAATGTCACACTCTGGATCCCGCACAACTTTCTTCATTGCTGACATCATTGAGAGATAGTTGCCTCGTCCTGCTTCAGGCAGCCCAGCCCCCTAATTATTTATTTATTTCAGGTACTTGTATAGCGCCGTCCATTTACTCAGCGCTTTACACATATTTATATTGTACATTCACATCAGTCCCTAACCCTCAAGGGGTGTACAATCTAAGGTCCCTAATTCACATTCATACATACACATACTAGGGCCAATTTAGACAGGAGCAAATTAACCTACCAGCATGTCTTTGGAGTGTGGGAGGAAACCGGAGTACACGGAGGCAACCCACGCAGGCACAGGGAGAACATGCAAACTCCAGGCAGGTGGTGCCGTGGCTGGGATTCCAACCGACGACCCTAGCATTCAGCAACTACTTAGAACCTGAAGCATCTGGGGTTATGTGGCCTGCATATCCCAGAAGACTTCAGAGTACAGATGATGCCATTCTAACCTATAGCAGTTGGGGACAAGTAGAACTTACAATAAAGCTTTAAAGATGAACTTCAGGAATTACAGACATTTAAAAAAAACTTCTTCTTTATAAGGTGTTAAAGTAGTAGTAAAATTTAACTTAAAGCGGTTCTTCAGACTTTTTAAAAAAGTTGTATCTTCTGACTTTTAATGAAAGGACACTCACCTGTCCAGGGGTCCAGCACCGTGCTCAAGCGAACCACTTCTTCACTGGTCTTTGGATCTCGGTACTGGCATGTTTACTGTGGGAAGCTGGCTGTGATTCTTTGCGGCGTCACAGCTGGCTGTGAGAGTGTCTTGTGGTGCCGCTCCAAGCTGGATAGTAAAATAAGAATTGCCTTGCCGGCAAGGAAAGGGAGCAGGTGTCCCAGAGCAATTTCTAGTATAGCTGATAGGAGATAAAGGTGAACACCGCTCAACCCACCCCAGGAGTTAGATTCATGGATGGTTTGGCTTGGCCTCAGCCACCACTCCACCTATGCCCTCTGACGTGATTCGCCCCGGCCTCCGGGGGCTTAATCACAGTCGCCAGAGTGGTGGCTGAAGCCAAGCCAAACCATCCATGTGTCTGACTTCTGGGGTGGGTTGAGCGATGTCCACCTTTACCTTCTCAGCTGGCTGCCCATTGCGTATGTGCAAGGCGCACTGCGCTTTGTGACTGGTCCTGAGGCCGCCTGGGACCTGCGATGCGTCCCAGGGGTGGGGGAGGGGGGCTTCCACTGGATCGCGGCGGCAATCCAACTAAAAGTGGGAGCGGGTACCTATCAAAACCATGTACCCACATCCCCCCTCCTCCCAATTCCCTCTTTAACACATTGAGTACAATAATATGAATTTTCCCAAAATAAATATTTGGCAATGCAGTTTATAAGTACTGCTAGCTTCTGTGCTCTTGTTGCTGCTTCCCTGAACATCTAGACTTCACAGGAAATATTTAATAGTCGACAGCGCAGTCTCCAGCCAGTCTGTTAGCAGGGAGGGGCAGGAGAGTGCCTTGCCATCCTAGGCTATGAAGCCTAACTTCAGTTTTACTATGATTTCAAATAGTTTTTTGGGCTGAGCAAAGGGTTTAATATAACAATAAGCTCAACAAGGTGTATGCAGCATTTTATTTTTTTTTATTTAATATTTACCGTGTTTTTCACTCCATAAGACTCACTTTTTTTCCCCCCAAAAAAGGGGGGGAAATGTCAGTGCGTCTTGTGGAGCGAATATGGAGTGGCCGGTCCAGTATTTCCGCCACTGTGTCAGAATACCGGGCCGGCCGCTCGGCTCTTCCCTGTGCTGTGTCCGCAGTCTCTGGTCATCTCCTGTGCTGCGTCTGCAGTCCATTGGTTTAGAATATTTTTTTTTCTTGTTTTACTCCTCTAAAACCTAGGCGCGTCTTATGGAGCAAAAATTCGGTATTTTTTTTACTGAGCTCAGGAAGTAGCTATACTCCTGGTGCTCTGACAGGAAAGCTGCAGCTGGTGTGTGACTGCCTGCCCTTACGCTGTCCATTCACTTTGTATCTTGTGAAAAGGCGGTTGGATGCAAATGATTCTGCAGCTTCTGTATCTGAAACCTGAAGGCCCATAGTCGGAGATCCAGTGCTGCAATTCCTGGAGTTCTTTTTAAGCTCAAGTAAAGATTTCATTTGGTACACTGTTTAATTAATTCCCTGTTTTTTTTGTTTTGTTTTTTTTTTTTGATTATCATAAACTAAATAATGCCCAAAAAATGTTTACAATGGGCAACAATGCTTGCAGTTTTGCATCTGTTTCAGACTATGTGTGTTTAAACTGTTTACATTTTCTTAACAAACAGTGTAAAAGTGGAAAAAAAAAACTTTTAACCACCTGTTGCTGGACCTTTTTAGGGGTTTATATTTTGGGTGTGGAGACAGGCTTTCTGTTTATGCCACTCCCTCCTCACCCCTGCAGCAGCCACACACTGACACAAGGCAGCTGGAGCTAGAGCAGGGGTGGCGAACAAGTTAGACACAAAGAGCCAAAATTTTAAACTGTGAAAGTCTGAGAGCCACACCACGCAGTGACCTGCCAAAACAGACAAACACTCACACAAAAACACATAATTAAAACCATATTATTCACCATAACACTTTCTTCCCCTTACAAAACAACAATGTGTTAATTTCAAGGTAAGTGTCCACCCTCAACACACACATCAAATGCAACTTAGCCAGAGTTAACACATCAACTACCCTGGAGGTTGCTGTCACCTGTCTCTCTCTCTCTCTCCCTTCTCTCTCTCTCACTCTAACACACAAGTATACAAAAAAAAATTCTGAACTAATGGACTGCAGATACAGTACAGGAGATGACCAGTGACTGCGGACAGCACGGGGATGACCAGTGACTGCGGACAGCACGGGGATGACCAGTGACTGCGGACAGCACGGGGTTGACCAGTGACTGCGGACAGCACGGGGTTGACCAGTGACTGCGGACAGCACGGGGTTGACCAGTGACTGCGGACAGCACGGGGTTGACCAGTGACTGCGGACAGCACGGGGGATGACCAGTGACTGCGGACAGCACGGGGATGACCAGTGACTGCGGACAGCACGGGGATGACCAGTGACTGCGGACAGCACGGGGATGACCAGTGACTGCGGACAGCACGGGGATGACCAGTGACTGCGGACAGCACGGGGAATGACCAGTGACTGCGGACAGCACAGATGACTGCTGACCTTTGGGGAGGTGGGGAGCGGGTACCTGAATTTGACAGGTACCCGCTCTTACTTCTGCAGAGTTTTTGTTTAATCTTACCTGTTCCTCGATCCAGCCGCGCGCTGTCTTCCCGGCTTCTGTAATGGCGCTCGGCATGACAGCCGGGTGCCCAGTGCGCATGAGCGAGAAGCACTTGCTCTTTGTGATTGGTCCGGCGGCTTCTGGGATCTGTCGTGTCCCAGGTACCGCCTTACCATTCACAAAAAGCATCGCTTCTTGCGCATGCGCACTTGGCACCCAGCTGTCATGCCCAGTGCCCACACTACAGAAGCCGGAAGACAGCACGCCGCTGGATAGAGGAACAGGTAAAAATAAGAGAAACATGAAACTTGGCAAAGAGCCACAGTATACAAAATATGATAAGAGGCAAAGAGCCGCATTCATTTTGGCCGGGAGCCGCACGCGGGTGTTCGCCACCCTGGCTAGAGGATCAGGTGACTGCAGCAAATTAAAATTTAAGTACACAGATCTTTTTTTTAATCGGGGTATGCAGAAGTAGAGGGAGGGAACATTTTTAAGAATAATAAGTATTGGTCTTCCATCTTAAAAGGTTAAACAAGCTACCCCTGACCTCTCTAGCTGCTTTTAATGCCGCGTTATTCATTCTCAAAGATTCTCAAACAGTAGAAACAGGACTCTAAGCCTGCATTTACACCTGAGCAGAGCATATTTCTAGTAATTCTGAAGTGTTTTCAGGCATTTAAAAGGTTTATGCAAATATTTTTTTCTACCTTTTTAGGCCCCTTTACACGGGCGTTCAGTCTAGATCCGTCCGTCAGTTTTTCAGACGGATTCAGACTGAACCACAATGTATGTCTATGGGTGGGTGAATGTAAAAGGATGATCATCAGTTTATATCTGCCTACATCCATGTCAGTTCAGGTCCATTTTTCTTAAAATGGCTCAGCCAATGTCCAGATCCGTTGAAACGGAACGGGATGGATGTAGACTTATGTAAACCTGAATAGAACTGAACTAATATGAACTGAACTGAAGTGCAAACTGAACTGATGACAGATGTGCAAACTGATGTAAACTTTCTTTGAAAACGCATGACTGAAGGGATGATGTCCATGTGAAAGAGGCCTTTAGGGTTTGCTGGGCAAGAGGAGGAGAGTGGTTCTGGAGAGGAGTTATTCAGGCACATAATCACATGCAGACGCATGTTGCATATTTATAGGCACACCCAAGTCTAGAAGGGCAAAAAAAAATCTGAAAATGCCCTCCCGAAACTTGTGTACTTTTTTTTTTTTTTTTTTTTTTTAGTATGGGGAAACTCAGCATGCAGTACTAATGTGAACCGCGACATTTCAGACAAAGAGAAGGCACATTTCTTAAATACCTTCAACTCTGTGTATACAAAGGAGCATGGGGGAGCTCTTGTCCTTAATGGGCATGGTATTGACACAGCTCCAGATGATCCACTTTGGCTCACAAGTGATATGATCCAAAAATATTTAGACAGAATAAAGATGAATAAAGCACCTGGACCGGATGGCATACACTCACGGGTCCTTAAAGAATTGAGCTCTGTCATTTCAAAGCCATTGTTTCTAATTTTAAGGGACTCTTTAATGACTGGCACAGTACCACTGGATTGGCGTAATGCCAATGTGATGCCAATATTTAAAAAGGGGTCAAAATCTTTACCAAATAATTATAGACCTGTTAGTTTAACTTCTATAGTTGGAAGATACTGGAGAGTTTAATAAAAGACCACATAGATGAGTTCTTGCTGGAAAGAAATGTTAAGCAACAGACAGCATGGATTCATGAAAAACAGAAGTTGTCAAACAAATCTGATTTCTTTTTATGAGGAGGTGAGCAAAACCTTGGACAGGGGGGGTGGCGCGATGGACTTGGTATACTTGGATTTTGCAAAAAGCGTCTGACACACACGGCTACTGTGTAAGGTAAAGTCTACGGGCTTGGCAAAATCTGTATGTAAATGGATAGAAAACTGGCTAATCGTACTCAAAGAGTAGTGGTTAATGATTCATACTCTGAATGGTCTAGGGCCATCAGTGGTGTTCCCCAAGGTTCAGCGTTGGGACCCTTACTTTTTAATATATTTATAAACACTATAGGGTCTGCGATTAAGAATCCCATTTCAGTCTTTGCAGATGACACCAAGCTGTGCAGTGGAATAACGTCCTTACAGGATGTCTTCAATTTACAAGCCGACCTCAATGCACTTAATTGGGCAACTATGTGGCAAATGAGGTTTAATGTTGATAAATGTAAGGTTCTGCACTTGGGGGCTAAAAATATGCATGCACCATACATACTAGGGGGAGTACAACTGGGGGAATCAATGGTGGAGAAGGATCTGGGAGTACTGGTAGATCACAAGCTTAATAATGGCATGCAATGCCAAGCTTCGGTTTTTAAAGCGAGAAAAATCCTCTCTTGTATTAAAAGAAGTATAGACTCCAGAGAGAGAGATATCATATTACCCCGGTACACATCATTAGTAAGACCTCATCAGGAATATGCAGTTCAGTTTTGGGCACCAATTCACAAAAAAGAACATTAGGGAACTGGAGAAAGTACAGAGAAGGGCAACCAAACTGATAAGAGGCATGGAGGAGATCAGCTATGAGGAAAGATTAGAGGAACTAAATTTATTCTCTCTTGAGAAGAGGAGATTAAGGGGGATATAATCAACATGTATAAATACATCAGTGGTTCATATAGTGAACTCGGTGTAGAGCTAATCACCCTGAGGTCATCACAGAGGACAAGGGGGCACTCTTTACATCTGGAGGAAAAGACATTTAATCTCCAAACACGGAAAGGTTTCTTCACTGTGAGAACTGTGAAAATGTGGAATAGACTCCCTCAAGAGTTGATTCTGGCCAGCTCAGTGGATTGCTTCAAAAAATGCCTTGATTCTTTCTGAGAAACACAGAATATAACTGATACTAACATTTATAGGTAAAGTTGATCCAGGGAATATCTGATTGTCTCTCAGGGGATCAGGAAGGAATTTTTTTCCCAGCAGGAGCAAATTGGATCATGCTTTGCTGGGGTTTTTTTTGCCTTCCTCTGGATCAACTGCAGGTATAGGATTATAACTTTTTTTTTTTTCTCTGTAGTTGAACTGGATGGACTTTTGTTTTTTTTCATCCAGACTAACTATGTAATTAGAATTTTTGAATCTGTACGTTCAGCATAGTCGGGTTTCGGGAAACAAGCTGAAAAACACTCATGTGAATGGAGGTGAAAAAAGTCAGATTTCAGACTTTTCTATAGCAGAGGAGGGTGCCCTTGTTTAGCCTCCTCTGTTACAGAATGTCCTTTGGATTCCAAATCCAACTTCAAGTGGCAGCAAAGGCACCTAGAAAGTGAGATCTTTCTTATGCTTAGCACACAGTTATTCCTCCAGGATGATAGTAATTGATATGCTGTGATTTAAATATAGTAGGTACATAATATGATGTGCACAATCCTTCTATAATTTGTTGCATCTGACTTTTTTTATTTTTATTTTGCATACAATGAAGGTTTATTTCATAGCTGAAGGGAGTGGTTTTTCAATAGGTCACAAGTGCCCTGGGTTTAAGTTTTTTTTTTTTTGTTTTTTTGCCCCTATTCAGTCTTTTCTAATCACAACACTTGCTGTGTGTTTACATTTGAGGACTGGCAGCCTGTGGAAATCTGCTCTTACCCCCGGTTCACATATATGCGGCCATGCGGGCCGCATTTTGCACGGGCACAAGAGCCCATTCATTTGAATGGACTCCCGTGCCCCGTGACACGCAGGGAAGAAGTCCCCGCACTTCTTCAGAAAAAGCAGCCCGCACGGGAACCTCGGTTCCCAGTACGGTTACGTTTTCCAGTGCAGGTGGCGTGCTATTAGAACTAATGGCACCCGCCCGTGGGTCCGCATTTCTCTGTGTGGGTGGTGCGGCTGCACGGATTTTTGTGCGGATCCGCAGCCACACCACCCGCACAGATGTGAACCTATCCTTAGGCCATGTTCCCACTTGTGGTTTTGTGAATGCAATTTACACATGGAAAAGCAGCCCGTTCACTTGACCCTCCAAAGAATCTCGGGCACCAAATTTTGGCCCTGAGCCAGGAGTGATTTTACACATGCGTTTTGCTGCAGCCCTTGCACATCACAGCAAAATCGCACCACATTTGAGGTGCCATTTAGGATGAATGCCACCCAAACTCATGTTGTACTGTGATTTGGAGTGATGGCTTGTTTTACAGTGCTTTTATTGCTTTTTCAGAGTATCTAAATACTTTACTGTGCATGATCTGGACCAGGGGCAGACTGACAACTCATGGGGCCCCCGGGCAAAAGGGGATCATGGGGCCCCTATGTCCTTGTCCACACTCAAAGCACACCCAAAAAAGACTATAAAAGGTACCAGGGGCATTTCATGGGGCCCCCTACTGACCCCGGGCCCTCGGGCAGTGCTCGAATGGTCAGTCCACCCCTGATCTGGACACAAGTTCACTTTAAATTGGAACTATTACATTGAAATTAAAAATTGGAGCAGGTTGGCTTTTTTTTTTTTTTTTTTTTTGCAGAAAATACTCTATACGTCTGTGTCTGCAATGCAATCTTCTCCTCTTCCTTGATTGCACTTCCAGCATTATCTCTACTATGTGGATACTGAGATACATCGGCACAGCTCAGTGTAGATTCTCAACATGCCTCCAGGCCGGGATGAATTGGCCTCCATGCGCTGGAGTTGTGTCATCCTGGGCCTGCCAATCAAGATGGCCAGTAACTCTGCACCAGGAAGATATAGGCAGCCTCAAGGAAGCCTGTGGACATTGCATTGCTGGAGGAGAGGTTGAGTACACAGAGCTTTAGTTTCACTTTAAAGATTTTATTATAATTTCTTTTGTAGCTGAACTCCAGGCAAACCGCTAACTACACACATAAAGTTCAAAATACTACAGTTGTAACCAGTGTTGTCATATCACAGTGTGTCCCTTACGTAAAGCACATCTTATCCTATTCATTTGTTTCACAATCTCAGCTGATTTCCCAATGTTATTTAAGATGGTATTACTAATATACTGCAGATTAAAACCAATTAACAACTTCTAAAACCATAATTAAAGTGTTACTAAACCCCGGACCCTGCATTCACTATATCTGATCTCCCACAGTACACAGAACATAGAAATGCAGTTATTTTAGGAAATATAAAACTGCTAAGTCCTCATGTACACTGGACATTTTTACAGCTGCTGGTTTTGGCTTTTGACATTTCTTTTTCTACAGCCAGTAACCCCCCCATCGTGTTTATCCTATGTGTCCATACACACATAGACTGTAATCAATGTTTTGTGGCAGGGATGTTTTTTGGCTGGAAAAAAACCCAGGACTAGTGGGTTTCTAGAGGAGTTTTTTTAGCTGTAAAAACACTCTAACGCTGAAAACTCAGTAAAATGCCACAAACTAGCGTTTTTTCTCCCTTTTTTTTTTTTTTTTTTTTTTTTTTGCCCAAAAAAAATTTTTTTTTTTTTTTTGGTAAAGAAAAAAAAAAAACGCTAAACACAAATGTGGAAAAATGCTGCTAAATGCGAATACAAAAACGCTGGAAAAAGCTGAAAAACTCACATTTGTAGCGTGACTTTACACAGCTAACGTTACCAGCGTTATCAAAACACCCAGTGTGCATGGAGACTTAATACCTTTTCTCATCAGCAGTTAGAGCAGTTACATAGTTAGTCTGGCTGAAAAAAGACAAAAGTTCATCCAGTTCAACCATTTAAAAGAAAAAAAAAATGTAATTCTACACCCACAGTTTATCCAGAGGAGGACAAAAAACCCAGCAAAGCATGGACTTGGGACTTCTATCAGTGTTCAGCAGAGCACTGGTTAAAGCTTGTTGGAGGTGATTTCTTTCTGCTCTAGGAGGATGCAGAACCCCTGACCTCTGTCTGGACAGTGCTGATTGGCCCTGTGCTGATTACATGTGCTCTCCCAAGAAACCCCCCCCTTGCAATACACACCAAACTGAGCATGTGCAGAGTGACTCCACACAATATGTCTTATCAGGAGATAAGAGCGCAACACTACAAGAAGGGGAGGATCAGAGAAGTCAGGATCAAACAGCCTTTTTACACAGTGCAGAGGCGTAACCCCTTATGTTCCACAGTGAGTATAACAAGCATGCTTTAATGTAAGTACAGATTGATTTTACTGTTGTGGGCTTAGTAACACTGTTACTATTTGGGCGCACAAAATACAATGAGTATCCTTTTTTAAATATAAAGTCATTCTGGTGTTTTTAAAGTGTTACTAAACCCACAACAGTAAAATCAGTCTGCATATGCATTAAAGCATGCTTGATATACTCACTGTGGAACCTAAGGGGTTAATCCTCCGCATTGTGTAAAAAGGCTGTTTGATCCTGTCTGCTCTGATCCTCCCCATCTTCCAGTCTCCAATCCATGTGCTGACAGCACAGAGCCCTAGGAGGCACTTTTTGAACATGTTCAGTTTGGTGTGTATTGCTAGAGTGTCTTTTTTTTTTTTTTTCCCCCTCTTTGGGAGGGTGCCTGTGATCAGCACTGTCTAGACAGAGGGTCAGGGGTTATGCTGCCTCATAGGACAGTCAGTGGAGAATGGAAACGCCTCCTACAAGCTTTAACCAGTGCTTGCCTGGACACTGATAGAAGTCAGAAGACTTCTATATACTGTTGATGAGAAAAAGTGTTTAGCAGTTTTACTAAAATGATTGCATTTCCATGTTGTGTGTACTGTGGGAGACCAGCTATAGCAGGCATGTCCAAAGTCCGGCTCGCGGGCCATTTACGACCCGAGGGTCGGTTTAATACGGCCCTCCCATGTCAGTGTGTCATATGGAGCGAATATGGGCCGGTCCGGTATTTCCACCGCGGCCGTGTCAGAATACCGGGCCGGCCGCTCAGCTCTGCAGCGGGACCTTACCTGTTCCTCTATCCAGCGGCGCGCTGTCTTCCCGGCTTCTGTAGTGTGGGCGCTGGGCATGACAGCCGGGTGCCAAGTGCGCATGCGCAAGAAGCGGTGCTTTTTGTGAATGGTAAGGCGGTACCTGGGACACATGACAGATCCCAGAAGCCGCCGGACCAATCACAAAGCGCAAGTGCTTCTCGCTCATGCGCACTGGGCAACCGGCTGTCATGCCGAGCGCCATTACAGAAGCCGGGAAGACAGCGCGCGGCTGGATCGAGGAACAGGTAAGATCAAAGAACAACTCCGTGGAAGAGCGGGTACCTGTCAAATTCAGGTACCCGCTCCCCACCTCCCCAAAGGTCAGCAGTCATCTGTACTGTCCGCAGTCTCTGGTCATCCCTGTGCTGTCCGCAGTCTCTGGTCATCCCTGTGCTGTCCGCAGTCTCTGGTCATCCCTGTGCTGTCCGCAGTCTCTGGTCATCCCTGTGCTGTCCGCAGTCTCTGGTCATCCCTGTGCTGTCCGCAGTCTCTGGTCATCCCTGTGCTGTCCGCAGTCACTGGTGGTCATCTCCTGTACTGTGTCTGCAGTCTCTGGTCATCTCCTGTACTGTGTCTGCAGTCCATTAGTTCAGAATTTTTTTTTTCCTGTTTTCTGCCTCTAAAACCTAGGTGCGTCTTATGGTCAGGTGCGTCTTATACGGCGAAAAATACGGTAACTTGGCATAAAATAATTTATTTGCATTTAATTGTAATGGTTCAAAGAATGTTTGGAAAAATGTTCGGCCCTCCACCATGTTCACTTCATCCAATCTGGCCCTCTTTGAAAAAAGTTTGGACACCCCTGAGCTATAGTGAATGCAGGGTCCTGGGTTTAATACCTGAACTATTTTCTATCGACAGCACGATCATTTAGGCTTCATGCTCATGGCTGCATCATGCATGACAGATATACAGCTGTACATTGTGGGGTTTTTCATCTGCCCGGGGCCCACTGGTGCTGTGTATAGCCACCCATAGCAATGGCTAAATGCACATATGTACAGGCATTCGGTGGGAAGCTGCATCCAGAATTGTACGCCATTGAGCATAAGCAGTGTAGGAGATCAGATATTGTGAATGCAGGGTCCTGGGTTTAGTAACACTTGAACTATTTTATATCGACAGCACTATCGTTTAGGCTTCATGCTCATGGCTGGGAAGCTGCACCCAGAATTGTACGCCAATAAGCAGAAGTGTGTTTATAGAAGTAGTGGTGTATAGCCACTTGTAGCTCTGGCCATCATTGATTGCTATGGGCATGAATAAATGGCTGTACAGTGCTCTTGCAGCTGTTTATCACATTTCCGTTGTGCACAATTCAGTTTCTGTTCCTGGATTCTGCTTTTGGGCCAGAACACCCCTCCTCGTAATTGTTGTATCTGGCACCGACAATGTTTTATACGTTGTACAGCAAATTTTTGTAATGCATTTTAACATGTATTGCAATGCAGTTTTTTATCCTCTAATTTTATTTTTGTGTGGATGAACTGGACCATAGGAGACGAGGCTGACTATTTGTCCTATACAGCCTAACACAGCTTAACCACTTCTTCTCTGGACACTTTCACCCCCTTCCTGTCCAGGCCAATTTTCAGATTTCAGGGCTATCACACTTTGAATGACAATTGCGTGGTCATGCAACACTGTGGTCATATAATTGTTTTATCATTTTTTTTGAGACAGATAAAACTTTATTTTGGTGGTATTTATTCACCACTGGGACTTTTATTTTTTTGCTATATAAATGAAAAATCCAAAAATTTTGGAAGTGTTTTTATAAAATTTTTTCATATAAATAAATAATCTTTCTTCATAAATCTTGGCCAAAATGTATTCAGTTATCTTTTTAGCAAAAAAAAAAAAAAAATAACCCAAATTAGTTTATAAGCAAAAATTATAATTTTTCAAACTTTTTTTTTTTTACATTTTTATTTTATTTTTTTATATTATTTTTTATGGTGTGTTGTTGTTTTTTTTTTTTTTTTTTTTTTTTTTTAACATACTGTTACCCTAGCAGTACAGTGTCACCATAGTGACACTGTACTATTTGTGGGGGGTTTTGAAGATTTTATTTATTTTTTTTTTACACAGATTGCTTTTACACCCATAAAGGCTGTAAAAGCAATAATTTCTCCTTCTCTCTAGCTGCATTCTTGCAGCCAATGAGAAATACTGTGTGAGCTGTGATTGGTCACAGCTTGTCACATGGTACAAGGGTGTTGTGAATAGCCTTGTACCATGTGACCTCTGTGATCATTCACAGATTTCACACATAGTAAGCAATGATGTCAGAAGTGACATCTTGCTTACTACTCTGCATGTGATCAATGATTGGCCAATCAGTGATCATATGATTGGGACCTCGCACAGAGGTCCCGTACAACGATCGGTGCTCCACTGTGTCCGGAGGACACAGCAGGCACCAGATCGCAGTGCTGCGCACTCCCAGGGAGCACGCACAAGCATGGGGTGGGGGAGGCCGTTTATAAACGGCCACACGCCCCTGCACTGCTCCTGTCTGGCCGTTTATATGCATGGGCCGGACGGGAAGTGGTTATAGTAGAACTATAGGTAAAACTTTTTTTTTTTTTTTTTTAAGTTTTCACTTTGAATAGAGTTAAGGGAGGGTTATAACACCTGTCAGTTTATTTTTTGTCATCTGTGTCCCATTGGGGAGATCTACCTTCACTTTCTTTTCCATATGCAAAACAGTACGTGAGAAAATCTCTTCACCACTTGTCTCATAGCCAAAACAGGAAGTGAGAAAATCTCTTCTGGGCTTGTCTCATAGCCAAAACAGGAAGTGAGAGGAAATCATGCAAATTAAAAGAATCCCTTGGGGACTCCAGGTCTCCAGAACTAGTGTCCCCATTGGAAAATTTCCCCTTATATTACTTTTCTGGGGACAACCCAAAATTTGGGATTTTCTTTTACTTTTTCGAGGATAACGGTAAACAGGACAGATAGAGAGGACGAGTCTCCCTAACAGGAGCACAAAGAGTAATAAAACCTTACAGGGGTTCTGATCTTATTAATATGTAATAACTAAATGTTACTTTTCAAACTAACATTGGTAGCTCTGCTGAAGTGTGATGACATACAAATAAATAGGATAAGTTGTGGATAAGAGACACCCTGTCATGCAGCGATAACATAGGTTACATCTACAGTAGTTTGAACATTTATATTGTTACTAAAAACAAGTTTGCACTTGCAGTGTTTCTCAGTGTAAGCTGTGAATTTGTTCCTGTGGTGGAAAGGATTTATTTAAATAAGGATAATACACTGAATTACAACTCATTTGGAACATATTTCTGTCTATCCTGTTCTGAGATTAACATAGCTCTGTCACAGAGTACAGTCCTGTTTGACAGGGCAGGAGGCCTGATTGTTTTTTGCTACATTTGTAGGTCTTGTCCTTCCCCCATCCTGTGAATGGACAGTGGAAGGAGAAGTCGCACACTGATAAGTTTATCTCTGTCACTCTGTTCTCTCCTCCTGTCTGCATGTCGCATGATCACTGAAGCACAAGGGATTGGCTCTTTGTGGTGCAGTCTGAGCTCTGCTGTGCACGGAGTGCTGATGCTGAAACCAGGCCAGATTCAGGTACTAACACTGCTTGCATTTAAAAAATACATTTAAACTATTATTGAGGGCAAAACCTTTGTTTAGCTTTAAATACAGTGGAGAGGGAATAGAAAGTCTATCAGGTTTTTATTGCTGTTTGTGCCCCCATTAGGGGAGATTCACCCTCTGTGTCTGTACTGGTGATGTTTTTCACTGAAAATGAATGAAAATCTAGGTTTTGAGGGTCACCAGAACAGGAAGAGAGGGGAACTCTTACAATGGGGATGCTCGTTCTGGTGATTCTGATGACTACCAGGAATTTCTCTCACCTTGGAGGCATTTCTTCTGGCTATAGGACAGGAAGTAAAGGCAAATCTTCCCAATGGGACACAGATGCCTTCAGTCTTTCAGTATGAAGTAAATACTTCAATATTCCTGAACACAGATCTGCAATAACTGGTGTTTTTTTTTTTTTTTCCTGCCTGGGATTCAGCTTAAGCCCTGGTTCACATTGATGCAGTGCGGAATTCGCAGCGTTTTCTGTGCCGCATCAGAATCGCACCCCCTTCATGCGAACAGCTGTGGGTGTGTATTTTATGCTAACGAAACCCCAAAAGCGGTCCGCAAAACGCGGTGCGATGTGTAGAGGTGTGAATGCTCATGCAATCCGATTCTAGTGCAGACCCAAAAAAGGGTCCTGCACGTTTTTGGTGCACACAAATCGCAAATAGTTTGCACAGGAATGCTTTGCGGTACGTGTGCGAATCACATGCGATATACTGCATCGCACATATGTGAACCCAGGCTTATATATATATATAGTTTATGTTTGTTATTTAAAAAAAAAAAAAAAAAAAAATGTATACTTACCTGCTCTGTGGAATTGCACAGAACAGCCCCGAATCTCCGTTTCTCAGGTCCCCGCTGGCGCTTCGGGCTCCTCCTCTCTGTCCCATGCCCCCATAGGAAGCCGCTTTCTATGGGGGGTACTCGTGCAGGCTCACTCATGAGCCTCCCTGTCTGCATCTATTGACACAGACAGCTGGACTAGGCCCTGCCCCCCTCGTCACTGGATTTAATTGACAGCAGCTGGAGCCAATGGCTCCCAGTGCCTCAGCAAAACCTGCGAGACCAGGAAGTGAGGAGAGAGACCAGGAAGTGAGGAGGGCTCAGGTAAGTATATGAGGTGGAGATATTGATGCAAGGACATTAAGGTAAAAAATATTTAGCCTTTATAACCACTTTGCATTTTTTTTATCCATTTATGTATTTGTTTATTTTTAGTAAGGACTGGCTCACACCGCCATGGAAACGATGAACCATGATTTAACTCTCATTGCTGCAAGGCATTGTAATGCACAAATACACATATGCTCTGTGCGCTGAGCTTTAAATGGTGTAGGACCTATTTTTTTTATACATTGACAGGCTCTTTTGAATGGGCTGTATAACAACTCACCTCAATGCTTGAATACATGTATGCTGCAGTGCACTGTGTTCCCGCGTGCACAGCTGCAGTGACTGCTCAGCCAATGGGTTTGCTTTGTAAACTCGTGATCACTCTGATTGGTCCCCAATCATGTAATCACTATGGTGGCCAGTCAGAGTTGTACCTAATTGCTAGCCAGAGATTATCATGGACTGCTAATGGTCAGTGACATTGGGGTCCCGGAAATATAAGCCTACAGCTCCTAGTGCCATACGGGAATGTAGATTAACGTTACCCCAGGACAGGGCTTCATGGTGGGGAATTGTTAATCTGCAGATTAT